GGCTACCATTCCTGCAAGTTTCATCCAAATCAGGCCAAAAATGACAAAGTTATAGGCTGTTTTGACCTTCCCCATTATATACTATGGGCGAAATGTCGAAACAGTTTTGCTGTTTCAAGAGAATGGAAAGGAAGAGCTGAAACAGAATTCAGAACAGAACGCTGTTCCATCAAAACGTCGAACCACTGGTCGAAACGGGACGCCGCTGTTTCGCACAGCCCTAATACCTGGCTCAAGAAGACCTTGAAATAGGCTCCAAGAATCCATTTTCAAGAACAAGAGAAAAAATCACATTGTAGGTTCTCCTCTTCTTAGCTGTAGTCCCCAGGGCTCCTCTCATGTGGCCACAGAATACAACACTTTGGGATTCACCCCCTCCTGGGGGCTGCACTTGGAGCCTATTCCAGGCAAGCACACAATTTACTGTCACATTTTTCTCCATCCAGATTTGCTACTAAACTTCATCCCAGAGAAACACTGAAGTCTAGACCAGGTTCTTCTCCACTGTGTTGCCTCTCTCCAAAGTCCATTCTTCAGGGTACAAAAATCCTATTCAGTATTAGCTTGCTGCCAAGGAAATGAGGAAGCTGAGGGACAGCCCGACACTAAGTACCAGACACTAGTGTGGGCCTTGTCAGCCAACATTTTTCATGTTGAATAGTGAGAGAGACTGGAGTTTCCCCACATGCTTCAGGGTGAAGCAGCATACTTTCCTCTGTAGTGACTAACCAGCTGATTTTGACAGCAACATAACTTACCTCACCTCCCAGGCCCATCATTGTCATTATAATCTCCCCCTGAATAAGGTTGCACAAGGCAGGGTCGCAATTGCAGGTAATAATGGCTGTACTAGAGCAAGGGGATGGATCATGAGACAGATATAAATGTGAAATGAGTGACTTCCTTAGTTCTCTAACCTAAGGTAAAAAAAAATTCTTAAGAAAGGTGAGAGTTCACTCCTCCTTTCCCACAAAGGTGAGTTTCATTTCTCCCTTGATCACACATTGCTAATTGCATTCAGCACAAGAGTCACATGATATAACACATTTGCTCTGTGTGTGCAAAAATTATATGTAACTACAGCACACAAGGGGGAAAGAATTTATGATTCTTTAACTGTCTTTCTAATTTTAAATTCATTTTGTCAAATCACATAGCAAAAAATACCTTCCTCTCTTCAATACCTCCTATTTCTTGTTCGCAGTTCATTATACATGCTCCCTTAATCAAATATGCTCCACCTTGGAAGTAATTATCAGATACTCCCTAAGGGCTGGGATTGTTGAATATATTAAGGGCCTTTGCTGTGGTGTGAAGGAAAATGAGATGGAATGAGAGAAAAAAACCACAGATGAAATTAGTACTTCTGACTGGAGTGACATGAAGTTAACATTTAACCCTGAGGCGAGTGATCATTCCAAAGCAGCGTAGAAGTCTCTGAGGGGGCTGTCCCCAACATGAACTATGGAGATTTAATTCTCTTCTGACTCCTTTAATTACTGGTGCAGAACCACATGACTGAGAAGCCATTGGTGGCATAGTGGAAGAGACATCCATGGCTGAAGGAACACGGAGAATGAAAACCTTTCAGCTTCCGAGGTGTGGAGGAAAGTTGCTACACAGTATTGCCCTGCTTGCAAAGAATGGATTTTTTTCTTGTCTTCACAGTGTGGTGTCTCTCTAAATCAGGATGAGCATTCATTAGCATGAGGAATCTCAGGACCAAATGAAACTCTAAGGCCCTAAATGCACAGGAGGGCTTCAGTGCTTGCTAATGATCCCTGCATCTTAGCATGGCTTTCAAACAACACAACCAAATACTCTTTTTTCCAATAGATTGCCAGCTTCAAGAAATGTTTTTTGAGACATCTAACCATTAATTATGCTCCACAGTTCTGCTTTAATTAGAAGACAAACTGTTGTGGGAATACAAACCCAGATTCAGTCCTTGGGTCCTTTCATTAATAATTTTCCTTACACATGTCAAAAATATTTGTCAGTTCACTCATTTTCTTCCTCGCTTTGATTTTCAATTTGGAATTGTACTGATAGAATGTTTCCTCTACCTTTTAGCACATTTACCAGTTACACTGGGCCAGATTCTATTGCCCTTCCTCATGCTGTGCATCTTACCTAATGAATAGTCACAGTGGAGAAAATGACTACAAAAAAGGTGAATGGGTGAAAAGAGAGTAGAACCAGACATTAGAAAGTTTTGGTTCTTTTGGTGTTATCTCCCAGATTTCTTTCCTTTTGTCCCAGAGGGACATAGGCAGAGGGCCTGGAGACCCCTCCCACAGCGGGTCCCAGGACAGGGCTGACCCACCACAACAAGAAAGAGAAAAGCCCTGAAGACAGGGCAAGCTTACCTTTTTTACAGACAAAGAAGCCAATGAAACACGCTAGGACAGAATGCCCGTTTGGTTCATCAGCCACTTCTATTTTTGGTTGGGAGCAGTGCAGGTAGATGACATAATCAAAAAACACCGCCCGGCTGAAATAACAGCTGGTGGTGGGGAAATGGATGGGGGAGCACTGCTGGAGGCAGATGGCAAGACTGCTCCCTGAGCCAAACACAGGCTGCACCAGCAACCAGAAAAGAGACTGGAGGACCCATCAGAGGGGTCCAGGGCCAGTTAAAGGAACCACTACATCGGCCGACAGCAAAGCCAGATGAGGGAGGGATACAGGAGCCCCAGACGCCAGAGTCATGAGTGGGATGGGCTGAGGACCCATTCCTCATTTTTTTTACTTTGTATATTAATTTGTTCTGTTATCCTGGGGTCCTAAGACAGGGAGAGGGACCATGAGTGACCCTCATGGACCAGAAGGATCCAGGAGAACACAGCAGGCAGCAGTGCAGGAGAAGAGACCTGGCATATTGCCAGGGGCAGCCCAATGTCCCAAAATCATCCTGTGCAGGGGAAGACCGATGGGAGACAAGCACATGAAGAGAGTGTAGGTGACAACATCAGGGGGTGAGCTGCCTGTCCATTATCCGGCCGTCCTAAAGGCTGGCACATGGCTGAGATGTAGGGGGGTGGAGCACCAAGAGTACCCGCTAGGGGTAGCACCTGACCCGCAAGGGACCACAAGAAGGAGCCCCACCACTGAAAGTCATGGCAGGTGAATATTGAGGTCTCCCTTGGGGTGAACGCCACCCAGCGTCAAGGCCACAGGAACAACATTCCCATCTGATACTGGGTGCATGCTCCAAGGCAGCAAGGGAATTTCTACATGAGGCCAGGCAGGTACACCTGTGTTAGGACTCACTGTATACACAACCTATAATATTGCTTTTCTGGCCAGCCTAATAAAAAGGATTGAAATACCAGGTGCATGTTTCATTTAAATGAGCATAATGGTCAAATATTTGAAACAGAAAATGATGAACATATGCAGCAGTATTAGATTCCTTTCAGTCTTCCTTGGTGCACACACTTTATTAGCATGGAAGACCAGTTGCAAAATGCATTTTCCAAGGACCATCACCATACAGCTGGCATGGTTACCAAAAATTCAGTGGCAGGATTAGTGCTCCCAAAATAGACATGGATTTGAACCACAAGACAGGCTGTTTTAAGGATCTAGCTAGAGACAAAATGGCATTTGAGATTTGCCTTTTTGCTGCTGATGTTGATGATATAAAATCATAGGTGGCCTGTTTTGGAAGTAACAAAGAGTAACATGCCCCAGCAATTACAGGTAGTATAGAGCATTATAAAATATGCTTTAAAAATGTGCTGGCTTTTCCTGGACTTCCTTTTAGTGGATAAATGTGTGTGTTCTTCTCTTCTTCTCCACCTACTTGAAAATTACAACTGGCAGCAGTGATCAACAGAACTAGGGTGAAATCCTGACTCTTTTGAAGTCAATGGCAAACTTCTCATAAATTTTAATAGTTCTCAGATTTTACCCTTAATAAGCAAAGAATAAAGGAGAAACTTATTCACAGATTATTGTATCTGGAACCTAAATGTTGATATCAGGGAGATTCTGAAAGAGTAAAACCAAACTGAGAAGTAGGCTTGAATCCAGAATGGTACAGTATTCTTTGAATTTCTATTGTCATTGCTCTCTACACTAAGGGCCCACATAAAAGACAGAAAGTAATTTCTGGATGCTTGTTGGATGAGGTGGAGTGATCTGAGAGTCCTGGTCCTAAACACACACTACAGAGGACTAGAGGATAATACTGTGGGACAATAATAAACATTACACAGCCCCTGAAGGGAAGCAGATAACAACCCATGCTATGGTTACATGCCCCTCTCACACAACCACTATATACAAAACCTCATCTAGTTGTGTGATTATAGTATACTGACACCTTTTAACTGACAATCTTGACTGCCCTCCTTGGTAAAGATGGTATAACTCCATATGTTCTGGCTTATTGGTAGAGATCTACTAATTTGCAATTTTGTGGATTTCGTGGAAACTGTGAAATCCAGGATTGTCCATGAAATCAACCTAAAAAACAAAATAAAAAATACAATGCTGGCTCCACAGTGGGAGCCAGTGGTTCTTGCTCACCACAGCCCAGCCTCACACCCCACCCAGGCAGGGAAGGCACTGGCTGGCAGGGCAGTATGAAAGGCAGCAGACAGATGGCAGCTGCCTCCTTGTCCTTCCTCCCACAGCCGGGGCCTCTCCTCCAGTTAGCACTGAGGGGCAGGGCCAGTGGAGCACATCATGAAATATCTGTGAAATTTGCTCTTTATGCCACAACCAACCCATGAAAATTGTTTAGTGTCTCTGCAATTTAAGTAGGTCCCTAGCTATTGGTAGTGTAAACGGTAAACAGTTATATCTTACCACAGCCTCATGCCTGGACAGAAATGACAGACAATGTGGAGGGATTATTTACCACATTGTTTGCTTTCTAGTAGTTCTTATTTAGCCCTAAGAAAATGGGACAGGAAAAAAATGTACAGAGACCCTCAGATGCACTTCGCACCCCACTTCTAAGTCACACCTCCCTGGTGAATTGCTCTTACCATGTCTGTGTCTGAGACAGGGCCGAAACTCGTCACGTAAATGTCTGTCTTGACTTCAGTTACACTGTCTGGGACAAACAAGAGAGAAAGCAATTAGAGAACTATATTAATTTGCACCGGAAAGGTTTTAGTTTTTGTTTTGTTTTGTTTTGTTTCTCCATACCAAATGCCTCCCTGGTGTAGTGCTGAATGAGCCACTATGGTGGTCACTACTATATCCAGAAAAATGGCCAATGTTATAATTCATAATTGGGCAAAATCATCTCTGGTGGAACTCCACTGATGTGTGTGGAGTTACACTGGGGAGGGATATGCCCTAGTACTTTCACACAGAGCATATTTATATAATGCAGAGTCACATAATGCATAAGATTATATGGTTCCACACACCTTAAAGATAGAGGTAAACCTTGATGTTGTGCAATTCTTTATAATCCCAAATCCCTTTGTATCTTTCTGTCTGATAAGTAAGAATTTGAATGTCCCTCCCCCCTTTTAGGAAACCCTGATTTTGTTAAAGTTTTGAGCTTTTCCATACATACAAGAGTTAATATTCTGACATCGTTGTGCTCTCATTATATTTGCTCTTTTCCTGTGTACTTCTTTCATGAAGAGAAGAAGCAAAGCTAGCATTGACCTACCTACTCCAATCACTCACATGCTGGACTGCACTACTCTTACTGATGCTGAGTAACACCTTATTCCATGAATAGCCCCATCAAAATCATTGGGAGACCTCAATTCAGGAAAGCACTTACATACATGCTTAAATTTAAACATGTGTTTCAGTCCTCTTGATGACAATGGGACTTAAGCAAATACTTCAAGTTAAGCATGTGCTTATTACATACTGAATTTGGAGCCACAGTTAGCTGCTATTCAAAGTGAATAATTACAATAATAATGTCACCTCACTCATATGGAGCTTTACACTGGTAGGTTTTGAAGTGTTTATAAAGGAAGTCAGTATTGTTATCCCTTTTTATCTACAGAGAAATCAAGGCACAGAAAAGAAGTGAAAAAACTTGCTCAAGATCACCCAGAAGGGCAGGCTCCAGGTCTCCCTAGTCCCATGAACAGATGCGGATCAATTCAGGATTAGACTATATCCTCTTATTGCTTCTGAATGACACTAGTCATTCAAACTGGTACTCATGGAAGAGCCCACTTCAAACCATCGACTGGCATATGTCTTCATCTGAAGTACCTTGCATTGGCTGCTGTTGCAGACACAAGATGGACCGGGTAGAATACCGGTTGATTCAATTATGGAAATTCCTGTCTTCTCAGAGGGATATTTTTCAATGTTTAATTTATTCTGCAATATTATGAGGCTTAGTTTTGTGGTTCAAAGTTTTGCAGCCAAAAATAAGATAATATATTTTGGCAGGTTTTCTCCTTAATGACTAAAATATGTATACATGTCTTTAGTTATTATGGCTGGTGACCTTTTGATGCAGCCTGAGGGTGATATTACTGTGCTATATATAATTCTTGATCTTGTCTTGATACAATAAAAGAAGGTTAAAGAGAAATATATATGCAACACACTTTCAGAAATACACAGTAGTCAATCAGACTACATTCTAAATAAAGCAGGTTTCTTTTGTAACACTTAAGGTTTCTCTCTGTTGCCTCCCACAAGATCTAGAATGAAACGCACAGCTGAAAAGAAAGGTCTCTTAGAGTAAGGTTATTTTCTTTAATGTACTGTACACAATGTTTCCTTCCTTTCTCTCTTCCCTTTGGTTTTCAGGTAGTCTGACATTAATACTTTACAGCAGTAGTTATCAAGCTAGGATCTATGATCATCCATGCTTAACAATGCCCGGCCTTACAAGTTGAAGAATGAAATATTTTGGAAATCAGTGATAGGCTGAGATGTCTGGAAGAAAAGTGGACCCGTGGGATGCCTGAAGGGAAGGGGGATCTGTGGGAGATCTGGAGGGAAGGCAGGTCTGTGGGGCATTTGGATGGAAGCTGGGTCTCAAAAGATCTGTATTTTAGAAAGTAACCTGTAGACATGAAGCACGGGGGAACTGATACAGATATTGCCAAAGAGATGTTAACAGGCTTGTGCTAGAGATGTCTCTGGGATATGCTTTAATGTGATCTCACTGTCATTATTTGTAAGCTGATGTTAGCCATAATCCCAAGGAAGGTGAAAACATGCAAAAGTTTCATTTAAAAAATAAGCCTTTTTTTGTAGTTTCTGCTTAATAAAGTCAATGATAAAAGCACAGATGGGATAGCTGCTATGGTCTTCATAGGGAGTGTAACAATGAAGACTTTGTAACACGAAGAGCTGAAGTATGATTTCTGAAAGTTGTGCAAAAAAAGCCCTTTTTGGGTTTAACCTGATCTACCTGGCCTGTTTAAACTGTTCAGTCACTCAATTCCAGATGCCCTTTTCTTTTGCTGATTACTAGCCAGTTTCCCTGAAACCAATGTATTTATGGCTATCAGCTCTCAGAAAGTTGAGCAAAGAGTTTCCCCGAGTTAAAATTCTCCTTGGCATTGGCATGTGCAAGTCCTTTAAGAGCTGCAGTCATTGAATACAACTTTAAATAGTCACAGACTAGCCAAGATAGCATGGGGAGGAAGAACAAAAAAAGATTTTATCTGCTCTTTTGCCAAATCACTTGCACAGTACAGTAGAAAGTGAAGAAAAAGATTTATTGTTGGGTGAACTAGTTCATGAGCCAGGAGAGTCTTTCCAAAGGAGAAAGTGCCATGTATTCTTTGAGCCATCCTCACATCCCTTTGGGAGTCACCAGCAGAAACTAACCTACCAACACAACTCCTCTGTTACACTGCCTTGTGATGGGTTATAGAAGAGAGCTCTCAAACTTGGAATGCTTTTGGGTAGGAGTGAGGAGTGGAGGCACAGGGATGGGGCTGCTGCTGCATCTCTAACAATGTGTTAAAGGACACTTTAACGTAGGGCAAAACATGCCCATTTAGATGATGAACTAAGGCAGAGGCTATAGGATCCAAGTGTATGTGACTATTTGGCAGTATAAGCTCTTGAGACCAATGGGCATTACCTGTTCTGTTATATACCTGTTCCTTCCCATCTTTTTGCATGAATGATGCTTCTTAAAATGCTATAGAGACAGCTGCAGTCACAGGATGGCAATGTACGGGACACTCAATAAGTGCATCATATTAATAGCTGCACACCCCAGGTTATCTTCAGGGCAAGAGCCAGAGTGATCCATACTAATGTCCAGCAATCACCATCAAAGTAATACAAACCCCATTAGTATATTTCATAGATTTCATAGACATTAGGGCTGGAAGGGACCTTGGAAGATCATCAAGTCCAGCCCCCCATCCAAAGGGCAGGATGTCGGCTGGGGTCATAGGATCCAAGCAAGATAAGCATCCAATTTGCTCTTGAAGGTGTTCAATGTAGGTGCTTGAACCACCTCCGATGGCAGGCTGTTCCAGACCTTGGGGGCTAGGACAGTAAAGAAACTCTTATGTCCAGCCTGAAACACTCTTGCAATAGTTTATAACCGTTAGACCTCGTCATTCCTTGGGGTGCTATGGTGAACAAACATTCCCCCAGGTACTGGTGGTCACCCCTGATAAACTTATAGGTGGCCATCAGATCACCCCTGAGCCTGCACTTTTCCAGGCTAAAGAGCCCCATGGCTCTTAGCCTGTCCTCGTAAGGTCTGTTTTCCTGAACTCTGATCATGCGCGTGGCTCTTCTCTGGACTCTCTCAAGCTTCTCCACATCCTTTTTGAATTGTGGAGCCCAAAACTGGATGCAGTACTCCAGCTGTGACCTCAGCAAGGTCGAGTACAAGGGGAGAATGATGTTTTGGATGCACACATATAATTGAGAGCTCAGTTTCAGACAGTTTAATGTTATGTGTTTCTGCGATTTGTGGTAGGGGCACTTAGTGCCTCAATCATGGGCAACTGATGCCTCCTGAGTCTGGGGGGGGCACCAGATCAGTGATGGG